AAGACTAAACAGCTTTTAGTTTTCCCACTACCTAGTTTCGCCTCCTACCCGAAGCGAAGCGAACAAATTTTAAAACTAGTACACCATAGGCAACGAAAGTCCATGTCTTAGATTAATTTATCGTTTCAGCTTTGATGACAGAGACGAATAGCGACCTAAACAGAAGAATAGCTGAGTATCGACCCAAATATCTGAAACATTCGAACAGACGACTTAGTGGTTCATTAATTACAGACATACAGTTTGAAACTTCCTTGAAAATATGCTACTCGCAGATTTCATCAGTAGTATACGCCATTGCTGTGACAGGTACAGGAACGGTAATCCACAGTGCCTGTCGTCCTGATTGGAGCTCATCAGATGTAGGTTGTTCAAGTTCAGGATTTCTTCTCCATGACCAACCATCTCTGCCTGATACCTATCACCTATGAGCGTTCCAAGTCCACACTCCAGTAGTCATTAAGTGTTCCATAAGATTTGTTACAATTTAGAACCAACTATCCGACTGTTTACCAGCAATCAGAACTTTCGGTCCATGCGCTCAAGGAAGAATGCACCTGCTCCTTTCACTCGTTTTTCATCTTTCGACTGAATCAGTACTGTGAATAGTTTTCGTATTCCTTTGTTACTGATATGGAGATTGGATCGAAAAAACAAAACACCTGTGTCCTCTTTTGGTGCTGGTCAACCATAGTGAGGAATTTTCATTGCTATGCTTTTCTAAGTCAGTTGTAGAGTGCTAAGGAAGTGTCAAAACACCTGTGTCCTCTTTTGGTGCTGGTCAACCATAGTGAGGAATTTTCATTGCTATGCTTTTCTAAGTCAGTTGTAGAGCCCTGTGCTAAGGAGTGTTCTCATGAATCAGCCGATCAATCAAATGCTTCTGAATAGTATCAATTTGTTGAACTTGAATCTACAGCCCAACCCGATTTTCGAAAACGTGTCAGGTTTGAGCAGTCTGTCTGAAGTACTCTTTATCTTGTCTTCCTCTTACAGCAACTAATCGAACAGTAAGTTGGATAAGTCTTTGAATACACTCATTGCGTTTATTGGATTGTAATTTTGCTAATTGAATTTTTATCTGTATCAGGCTCTAATGCTTTCTCAGGCGTTGTCTATGTTGTCTACGCAACGTTTGTTGCGTTTAACTTTAGAAGACTCTGAGTCCAACCCGCTCATGACACCAGCCATTTGCTGACTAATCTGAGTCCTTTCGGGAACAAACACGGTTCAGCCCAGTGTTTCATCCAAATGCTTCAACCGAAATCGGCCACTCTTTACTAAAGGACAATCAATCGAGGCCAAATTTGCTTAGTCAGCAATGCTGCGTAAGCAGTCATTTAAAGATGCCGCCAAGCAGTGAACGTTGCGAATACAACGGAGTGATATTACACAAGCATACTGTTGTAAATACTTTCCCTACTATCGAATATCGCTGAAAAAGTGAGGAGTATAGGTTTACTGTCTACTCTAACACCTGATAGCTGGGTCACCAACTTCAATCTGAAGTAACAGAGTCATCAGAAACGGGAGGAATGTGAACACATTAACACTAACTTTGAAAAAGACAAGTTCGAATTTGCCACTGAAAATCCATAGTACTAATAGATTCTCTTCACAGCTCTTTGTTGGTCAAATTCCGAATGACCCAATCCTCTGAGTATTTCTTCAGCTCAAAATTACAACGTCCCACCATTATCATCGAATCAAAAATTACGAACTAAATCACCGTTTTCTGTCTGTACTTGGTCATCATTCGTATCATTTCGATTGTGCAGACAGACGGACGTTGGAAACTGGAGGCTGAGAAGTAAACATGGTTGTCTGAATTGGGAAGTCGCTCAAAGCCAGTGAAGAAGGTACTTTGCTAGCAGGTTGTCTTATTTCACCTGGAACATACGGATGCCCATGTACAGCACATCCCGTTGAAGAATACGGTAAACTAGAGATTCAGCTGGGCAAGACGTTAACACCAAACCAATTTACAACTGACTAATAATATGTATGTACGTCTAATTTGGTGTCCAGTTGTGAAATGAGATTGAAGATTAGGGAATTAGGTCTATAAAAGGAGGCGTCGAACCCGGTCACCCATATCACGTCAACCTTGAACAGTGTACTTGTTGCCAAAACGAACACTTGGCTAACATCAGTTAAACCCTAAAACTTGGGGTATGAGCAAATCTGTACTACGAAACTTGCTAAAATATTCTATGACAGAATCAATATTCCTTGAGTTCATGTATATGCGTATGAGACAGAAATAATTGAAGATTCTCATCCCAGTTTCTTCACTATACTTGGTTTGGAAGTTTTACCAAACGTCATCAGAAAAGTCTGTTGCATATAGTTCTGACTAGAGTTCAGATTTTACAAAAGGAAAACACTCCGGTCCAACTATTGGCTTGTTAGAAGTTCCATAAAATTGTCACTAAGATGACCGGAATATCCCTGATCATATTCGAACCACAGAATTCCGCTTTCCTCTGTCTGGGCTTAGGCAACCTGGTAGATCCCTTCAAGTTGCACGGCACCTGTGCATCGAACAAACGATAGAGATTAATACATTTTTAAGGGAAAGAAGATTTATCTCGTAATACGAAGTCCTTTTATTACTGATGTCTTAGTTGGTTGCAGTCAGTCGTCGCATTTACGAACTTATCGATCGTCATTCCGCTACCTGAAGCACTTGGTGTTTACCGACCCTAATGTTTACTTTTGCACACAAAATTCACCGTTTTTCTGGCCTCACTTTCATGGCTCAGCGAACCACTGATGTCCACCCACCAAAAGTCCAAGTGTGCCCCTAGGATTGCTTTAGGCTACAGGCCCCGTCCACGTTTGTCGCATTCGATTCACACACTGGAGCTATGGTGTCGCAACGTCACAGAGATCTGGGCAAGACAATAAGGTCGACCTAGGCACGGGCCGCGCAAGTCAGAAGGTGCACCTAAAGAGGTTC